GTAAGCCAGGAGTATCTGTCGCACAAAAAATAGGGACCAATGGTGTTCTTTATTCTTGGAGGGCACCTACATCATTTTTTGGCATATCTTAGTATAGTCTTACATGAAAATCAGACTATTTGTATCCCATGCCATGGTGCATAAGCTCTGTTCAAGTTCAGTTGAGATTCCTTCATTGCAAGCACATACCCAGCATTGAGTCCAGCATCTTATTGTCCTGAAAACATTTAACAGCTTCTTGGGGAGGCCTTCCCTGGTCTGAAGGCAAAGCTAACAGAGTAAAATCCTGGTCAGTTAAAAGCCCCAACAGAACATCAGCAACAATATATAGTGTTATGGAATTGATTGATATAGTATTGAGTAAACAATATGTTAAAAATAATGCAAGTTCAATTTTTTGAAACACGTGTGTTGAGACAGTATCAATGACAGGATAAAAAAAAAATACAGGTTAAATTAAGGCAAACATGTGGTATCTAACCTTTTGGGATTCGCTCATTTCCCTTAGCATTATAGTTTCCAGTTGGGCCCCTTTAGCCACAAAGAACTGCATTTGGTTTTTTTTAATAGCTGAGTAATATTCCATGGAGTAGATGAACCAAAGCTTTCTTATCCAATCTTCTGCTGATGGGCATTTCGGTTGCTTCCGTGTTTTTGCAATTACTGATTGTGCTGCTATGAACATAAGGGTGCATGTTGAATTGTCGTGAAACAAGTGTTTTTGATATATTCCTAGGAGTGCTATTGCTGGGTCATATGGTATGCAGATTTTGAGTTGTTTAAGTGTTCTCCCTACTGATTTCCATAAAGGCTGTACTAACCTGCAGCCCCATCAGCAGTGGAATAGGGTTCCCTTCTCCCCACAACCTCACCAACAAGTGTCGTTGATGTTCTTTTTTATGTGGGCCAATCTTACTGGCATTAGGTGGTACCTCATCGATGTCTTAATTTGGATTTCCCTTATTGCCAGGGAACTGGAGCATTTTTTCATATGTTTGTTTGCCATTTGGGCTTGTTCCTTTGTGAAATGTTTGCCCATTTTATGTGCCCATTTCTTGAGTGGTTTGTTTGTTTTGGTGTTTTGGTTGTTTTGAAGTTCTTTGTATATCCTGGAAATTAGCCTCCTATCGCCTATATAGTGTGCAAAGATCTTCTCCCACTCTGTGGGTTGCTTTTTTACTTTGTTGATTGTTTCCCTTGCTGTACAGAAGCTTCTTAGTTTGATGAGGTCCCATTTGTTTATTCTGTTCTCAACTGCTATTGCTTTTGGTGTCCTTCTTAGAAATTCAGAACCTACTCCTAGGTCTTGCAGGGTATTTCCTACATTTTCTTGCAAGAGTTTGAAGGTTTCTGGATGTAGGTTTAGGTCTTTTATCCATGTGGATTGGATCTTAGTGTATGGTGATAGATGTGGGTCTTTTTGTTTCTGCAGGCTATCAGCCAGTTGTCCCAACAACATTTACTGAAGAGGCCTTCCCATTTGCTTGGACTGTCGTTGGTCTTTTTGTCAAAGATTAGTTGGCTGTATCTGTGTGGGTTCCCTTTTGGTGCTTCTATTCTATTCCATTGATCTTCCTCTCTATCTTTGTGCCAGTACCAAGCTGTTTTGATAACCACTGCTCTATAGTATGTCCAGAGGTCCGAAACTGTAATTCCCCCTGCTAACTTCTTGTTCTTTAGGATGGTTCTAGCTACTCGTGGTTTTTTGTGCTTCCAGATGAACTTTTGAATCATTGTGTCCAGTTCCATGAAGAATGTTTTGGGCAATTTGATTGGTATTGCGTTGAAAATGTATATTGCTTTTGGTAGTATAGACATTTTAATGATATTGATTTTACCTATCCAGAAGCATGGGATGTTATTCCATCTTTTGAGGTCTTGTTCACTTTCTTTTTTGAATTGTTTGTAGTTTTCTTCGAATAGGTCTCCTACACTTTTGGTTAGATGGATTCCCTCTCCCTGCGGCTCTTTGCTGCTTCTATAGCGTTCTAACCCTCTCTCACTGCACTCTCCCTCACAGCCTTCCTCCTATGTCGGCCATCTTGGAATCTCTCTCGTGGTTCCTTTTTAAAAGTGTACACAGAGGGACTAGATACCTGAGTTGCAGAAGCAGTTACCTAAAGCATGGAGTTACCAGCTAAAATAAAAACAGGGGCCAATGTTGGCTGGCACTGGCTTAGCTGGTGCTTATGACATGGGTTTTGCATGTCACAGGGTCAATTTCAGTCCTGGTTACACTGCTTCTGATCCAACTCCATGCTATGGCATCTGGAAAGGCAATGGATAGTGAACCAAGTGCCTAGACCCCTGTCTCCCACAAGGGAGACTCCAGTGGAGTTCCCAGCCCCGGGTTTCAGCCTGTCCCAACCCTGGCTGTGTAGCCCCCAGCAGATGGAAAATACCTTGCTCCTTTTCTGCCTTTCAAATGAAATAAAACTTAAGAAAATCCCAAAACTTCACAAGTATCCAATTCTAGTTCTGAACATTTTTTTGTTTGAAAGGAATGGGCCAGGTTAAAGCCAGGACCCAGGGGTTTCTGGGCCACCCATATGTGTGGCACGGGCCCCCAAGTGTTTGGGTCATTCTGGTGCTTTCCTGGGAACATTAGCAGGGATTTGGATAGAAAGTGGAGCAGCCTGGACTTGATCTTGCCACCTTATGGGATGCCAGCATTATAGGCAGCGGCTTAACTTGTGATGCTACTGCACTGTCCCCTAGTTGAGAACTTTTACAATTAACCAGAAGTTATACAGAGAGCTGTTCCCAGCTGCTGCCTGGACATGTAAGATGCACGCTGACACTCTTCCCCTCCCTGCTTCACCACCTCGCATTATTCCCATTCCTCAAAAAGGGAGAGAAAGAAAGAAAAGAGCCATTGCCTCTTGTTGGCAATAAAATTTGTTCATTGGTTGACTTTCCAGCCAATTGCCGCCTATGTCCTTGCCTCTGGGCACTTGTTCAGAAACACAGAAATAACAGATTGGCCAGACTGCATGCAACTCCCCAGTCACAGCCCTGTTATCTCCTCATTCTTACACCCCCATTAGGCAGGAGCCTGGGAGACCAGGCAATGGCAGTTCAGTATGGATACAGCTCCCCCGCTGCCTTCCCTCATCTGACTCCATTCTGTGGGACTGATGGGAATGAAGTTTCTGCCTATCTTTTATTTCTGTTTAATGTTTGTATATTGGAGATCCAGAGATCCTGTTCACTTGTTAATTCTCCAAATTCCTGTAACAGGTGGGAGTGCAGAGAGAAAGGGGGAGAGGGGCAAAGCCAGGAGCTGGAGATTTAATGCAAGTCTCCCATGTAGCTGGCAGGAACCCAGTTACCTGAGCTGGACCCAGGAATTGAACTTCCCAGACACCAGGAACATGGGATACAAGCATCTTACCTGCTGGGTGAATAGTCCGCTCATTTCCTTGTAAGGTTTATTTATTTAAAAGGCTGAATTACAGAGAGAGAGACAGCAACGAAGTGAGAGATCCTCCATTCACTAGTTCCTTCCAGAGTGGCCACAATGGCTGGGGCAGGGACACACCAAAGCCAGGAGTTTGGAACCCATCAAGGGCTTCCACGTGGCCATCCTCCACTGCTTTCCCAGTCACCTTAGTGGAGAGCCGGACAAGAGGTGAAGGAACTGGGACTCGAAGTGACACTGTTATGGGATGCTGGCATCCCAGGAAGTGGCTTAATGCACTAACATCCGGGCTCCTGTGACTCCTTCAGCCCTGAGAAAACTGAGACAATGCAGAGACCCACATCTCTGGTTCGTTGACAACTGCTTGAGTTGGTGTAGGTGAAGTTGTAGTGTATGGATTCTAAGGAAGCTGGCGGGTATCTCGATTACCAGGAAGAATTTGGTTTTGTGTTATTTATAGCTGCTCAATTCAGGTCAGAGCCAAGCAGAGTGGTTGCTTTTTTGAATATTGGCCACATGTCGCCTCCGCCAGACCATCTCCTGTTAAACAGAGATTTCTCTGGACACAGTAAAGGAAGGGGAGAGGAAGGTCTCTACTTATCAAGAGGAAATTGTTCTCTGTCACTTGCTGGTGAAATTTCTTTCCCAAGTAGTGGTGGAAGTTGCAAAAGGGGGGGGGGGGGGCTGCAATTGCTTTTTTTTTTTGCGTAAGTGTTAAAGTAAGGAAATTGCAAAACCCATGATGAGAGAGAACAAAATCTTTTTCCTTTCCAGCATGGTCCACCCTGTAGCTGCCATTCCTTTGCAGTGTTTGGCATTTAAGAGGGTTTATAGTTCCAGTAAGCTTTCCCCTTTATTCCATCTTCATTGTGAGCATTTGTTCAGTGTAGCTGTGTCATGACAGTCATGCATGGCTTAATAAATGAAAGCGGCGGGTCCCCAGAGATGTGTCATTAGGCTATTTCATCACCGTGAAAGCACACAGGCTCTACCTACACAAGCTTGGACAGCTACATTACTCTGCTTTTGACCCAAACATCTGCATGCATCCCTTGGCTGTACGTGATTTATTAGTGGGTTATTCTTAGAAGAGGTGGAAGTTTGGGCGAATGGTGCCTGCTTTCTCCCCACCCCCAAAACCTCTTTACCCAACCTGGGTGGTGGATGCAGTTGAAGGCAGACCAAACTATGGGGTGCCCACTATTGTTCAGAACCACTGAGTTAGCCTGGTCTCTCTCAAGTTCTGGCCATTCATTTGAGGCACCTGGATAGCCCCCTGTCTACCAGTACTTAGTGACCTAGCACAGAGCAAGACAGGTTGGGAAAGACACACAACTGCATGATTTTTAAAGAGGATTTTCTCCTCAAAAGAGCTGAGTTTGGTTCAGGTTAATCCATCATGGAGAGAATTATTCATGGGAAGGTTGTGCTGGGCAGGCAATCACTGCTACTCCTCAGCAAGAGCAAGGGCCAAGGAAAACAAGCAGGTGCGTGTGAGATGACTGTTGTAAGTTTCTATGTCATTGCTGCTGCTTGGTGATTGAAGCCTAACTAGTGTGTGCTTTCCTTCCCACCTCAGCTCATACCCCCGACAACAGCTTTCTGGGCTTTGTGGTCGAACAACACCTCAACTCCAGTGACATCCACCACATTAATGAAATCAAAAGGCAGAACCAGTCCCTTGTGTATGGCAAAGTGGATAGCTTCTGGAAGGTGAGTCAGTCTGCGTGCTTTTCTCTCTCTCCCTCTCCCCCCACCCCCACCCCACTCTCTTTCCCCAAGAAGCTTGTTGGGTAATTTAATTTAACTTTGATCCAGGGAGTAATCAAGCAAAGTGCCCGGGGCTTAATGGGATCTGCTTAGCAGTAAACAAGAATGTTGGAGGATTTGGCAGCTCAGCATTTGGATATTACACTGTGGCTGCATTTGCTCATCCGCACATTGTGCGAGCAGCCCTTCCCTGTGCTCTTTGCATGTCAGAAGTGAGTGGGGTGACATCTTTCATGTCTTATGTGGTTTCTTTGAATTCTGCATTTGTGGATTTAACTAACCGCAACTGGAAAAATTTGCAAAAACAGTTGCATCTAATGCTGGACAAGTACAGAGTGGTTTTCTTGTCATTCCCTCAACAATAGAGTATAACTGTCATGTATACAACATGTGCATTTTATTGAGAATTTTTAATAGCTAAAAATGACTGTAGGCCTACAGGAGAATGTGTTCAGCTTGATATGCAAATATTCTATTTAATTTTAAGAATTTATTTACTCTTATTGGAAAGGCAGGTTTACAAAGAAGGAGATGCAGTGAGAAAGAGCTTCCAACCCCTGGTTCACTTTCCAAGTAAACACACCCTCCAGTGCTGAGCCAATTCGAAGCCAAGAGCCAGGAGCTTCTTCCAGGCCTCCCATGTGGGTACAGGGTTCCAAGGCTTTAGGCTGTCCTCTACTGCTTTCCCAGGCCAAAAGAAGCGAGTTGGATGGGAAGTGAAGCAACAGCCCCTGCCTGGCATGATTTCTAGAGCATACTTGGGGAAAGGGCAATGGGAAAGGAACCAGCTTGGGTGTGGTCTATTGACAGGTGATACTAATCATTTGATATGACACATCTGCATCAGTAAGCACAAGACCTAGTTTTTACTTTTGGAGGAAAAATTTTTTAAGATTAATTTTATTTCTATTGCAAAGTCAGATATACAGAGAGGAGGAGATACAGAAAGAAAGATCTTCTGTCCATTGATTCACTCCCCAAGTGGCTGCAATGGCCAGAGCTGCACTGATCCATAGCCTCTTCCGGGTCTCCCACGTGGATGCAGGGTCTTTGGGCTGCCCTCGACTGCTTTCCCAGGCCACAAGCAGGTTGCTGGTTGGAAGGTAGGGCCGCCATGATATGAATTGGTGCCCATATGGGATCCTGGTGGGTGCAAGGCATGGACTTTAGCTGCTAGGCTACCACACTAGGCCCTGGAAGAAGTATTTTTTATAGAACATATCTCAAGGACTTCAGAAACATGCTTGTTTCTGAATTTAAGAACTTTAGTCACTTGCCAGAATGATCATGAGTGGTGCTCTCAGGTTGGGTGTGCCCTTGGAGGAAGCTAGAAGTTCTACAAGCGAGAGGGTGCACAGTGAAGCAGAGAGCAGAGAACATAATTGCTTCTGTGCCTGCCCATGTTTGGAATAGGAAAAGCTGTGATTGCCCTGCAGATCCACAGTGCTGACCATGATAGAGGGGAATCAGCCTGTTTTGGGGGAAGCTCGTGGAATTCCAGATAGTTGTCTTTGTTATAAACAGCCCAAATTGTGTTTTCATTTGATGCAGTTTTATTCCCCTCCCCCGAGGGACATTTTATCAGTGCCTGGAAACTGTTTTGTCATGTCTGGGCTGCATACTACCAGTATCTAGTGGATAGAAGCCAGCAATGCAATCAGCATCCTACAGTATATAGGCCAGTTCCTCTAACACAAGGTGTCAGTTGGGCCAACTGTGAGAAACTCATGCTAATGAATCATTTATTTCTTAGGTGGATGATTGGACACTTTGAGCTCTGAGATGAAATCAAATGCATCTAGATGAGTGTTGGCTCTTTCCAGTGTTGCAATGAATTTATGCATCCTGGCTTACCTTGTAGCTCTGTGGCCTGTGTTGACAACACATTTTTCAGCAGACTTTTAGCCAAAATCAGCTGAGAAGGGGCATACTGGGTTGTACTAATTCTCAGCTTGGTTGTGACATGAGTGGCTTTAGGCAGACATGAGCTCTTCAAGAAAAGCTGCACTTGCCTTCCTCCTTCTGCCCCTGCTTGAAGCAAACAGCCTGCATGTCAGCATGAGCTTGACCATGAACTTGTATCACTCCTGATTGGATCCAAGTGTAGCCACCTCCCAGGTACTTCCAGCAACATTCCTGTATCTAGGAAGGGGAAGGAAAAAAAACACACTAGTTCTGAGAAATTTGGTTACATGATTTGTGTAAATGAATACTTCCACTAACAGGATGACATCCTGGGTGGCAGGCCAAACCCCAGAAGTGACATGCCTCTTGCTCCAACAGCTCTGGATGTGGTGTGGAAATCATTGTGTTTTGGGGTGTAGAAACTTAGCAGGTGAAGTCACCTTCTGAATCTTACAAATCACCTGAGGTTTACAAATGGCTCCAGGGTCAGTGATTCTATGTTCATGTCTGTCTGAATATTGAGAATCTGGGGTGTCATGTCAATTTTATTCTATCATGTTGCTGTTGTATGCTAGGAAAGATTCAGAGTGGAAGAAAACAACTAACACATTTTCACACAAATTCACAATGTCATCTCCATCTTTGGAACACGGCATGGTATTCAAACATTCGCATTTCAGAGTCTAGTGAACGCACAGGAAAAGCAGATGTAGCCACTGAGTGAGATGTTAGCTCAGTCACATGTCTAGGACTGTGAACCAGTGGGCCTGGCCTAGCAGCAGATGTGTTTGTCTCCCTTCTGTTTCCCAAACTTCTTTTGCCTCAGAGCTCTTTGGGAAGTGACACCTGTCAATCCCTGGAGGGTCATGGCTGCTACTGGAGCTGGTAGAAGTGGGGCATGGTTTAGATCAGATGGTTCTGGAAGACCCATCTTGACCCTTAGACTTGCTGAAACTAAAGATGCATGCTGTGTTTCAGCTCCTCCACTCTGTCCCACCCTTTTTAGGGAAGCTTCTCACCTACCATGTGCTTCCCTCCAACCTTGGAAAATTGGACCAGGAATTGCCTTCTGATCCCAGGTAGGCCAGTTTATTGGTGAATGGGGTCATGATTCAGATTGATCCAAAGCCAGATTGTGTCATGACCCCAGGCAGGTCAGCTTACTGGTGGGTGGAGCCGTGATTCTGGCTCAAAGTCAGGTTGATCAATGAGATTTTGGGCGCTGAGAAACAGAGGAATGATGACAATGAGCCAGGAGCAGGTTCTTCAGGTGTTCAATGATAAGGAAAAAGGCACTTTGAGAAAGAAATGCAGCTCCCACAGCGAGAGGCACCACCTTGGGAGAAGAAGGAGTGCTCTGGAGGGCTTGACAGGAAGCAAAACACAGAAGGGTGCAGTCTTACTACTTGGAGGGGAGGAAATAGTTGGAGTTCCCAGGTGCTTTTCTTCCCTAGTTAGGTATGTCACTTTCACTCTCCGTAACTAAGTACTTCCTCTTCCTTGTATTCCTATCAGGGGTCCCCACTAAGCTCTACAGGTGTTACTGCATTCCACAGGCCTTGAGAAACACTGCCTGCTATGGAGGCCAAGGGGGACCAGGCTTCCCTTTCAACCTCCTGAGGTGTCTGCAGTGGTCTTACTTTGATTCTGTTGACACTCCAAACTTTGTTATCAACTCCAAAAACCTGAAGGCCCCAACAGATGAATTCCTGTGCCCAGGCCCCTTAACATCGCACAGGATTGCTAGCAACTCAATCCCAAGTTCCAAGCTCTCTGCTTAACCCAAGAGACTGCCATTCAGAGCTCCTTGCCATTCAGAACCTTAGGTTCCTAGCCTGTGAAATGAGTGTGTAACATCTGCCAGGTGGCTGAGCGCCTCTTAGTTTCAATAGTGCATGGACGTCACCTGGAATCACTAAATACAGATTCTGCCCCAGCCCTTCTGCAGTAATGCTGTGGCCCTGCCTTTTTGCAAGTACCCAACTGATACTGAAGGTGCTGGCCAAGTACACATGGAGGCATGAGGTGTGACTACTCACTGTGCTAGCCGAGTCAGCATAGAGTAGCTGTGTATCCAGTTCTGCAGAGTAAAATACACCTTATCTGATTAAAACACACATAGTTTCTGGTTCCATAGCCCAGTGCAGGGCTTGCCCCAGCCAGCCTGGCAACGAGCAAGGTCGGCCAGTCTCCAGTGAACTTGAAAAGCTCCTTTTGATGTAGATCTCAAAGACTTTGTGGTGTTCAAGCCTCCCCTGAAATGGTCCCTTTCCCAGAGGCCTGAGACATGAGGCAGCAGCATTTTCAGAAACCAGATACGACTGTCTTCTCCTTCCTGCCCTTTTGTAAGCTCTTTCTAAACAGCATCAGCCAGAGTGATCTTGGTGAAAGTGGAAATTGGACTGTAGTACTCCTCAGCTCAGAACTCTGGTGGCTTCATTTTAAAGTTAGAACATGGCACATGGGCTATGAAAGCGAACCTTGGCAGTGTGGTTTGGCCTGACTCTACAAACTGTCCACATCTGACATGGCCCTACTGTTCTCTCTAGCTCTTGAGTTGTGGCCACGGTCACTTGTATGCACCCCACCCTCCTGCTTAGGGTTATGAGGTGGGGGCAGATGGCCCAGACAGGCCCTTGCAGTGGCTGCCGTCTTCCTGGCCTCACCAAGCCCCCTAGGGCTACCCTGTCCCCTCACCAGATGGCCCCATGCTTATTAGAGCACTCTGTCATTCTCTTTATGCAGCCATAATCATTGTCACTCACACATATGTTTATCTTTCATTGTCCCTTCACCTCACCAATGGGTCATGAGCTATAGGAATCATACCCATTGTCTTCACCCAAATTGCCTGACCATGCTAACATAGCTATGTAGTGACTGGTGCATCACATCTGGATTTAGCTTAAATACTGATGTGTTTGCGGAGGCTGCAATACAAAGTGGAGTGCTGCTGGTTGTGGGTGAAACATGGGGCTGTTCCTTTGGCTCCCAGAGTGAAAAGGAAAGAGTTTAGAAGGAAAAGGAAGGGAACTATA